TTCGTTCGTTCGTTCGTTCATTCATTCATTCACTTTCCCGCAGTAGAGAGCAAGGCTACGGCGGGAAAGCCGTTCGGGTACGCTCGTCATGACGTCACCGTAAGCGATCTTCACTATCTGCCGCCGCGCTACAGCCTAGCCGTACCGTATCTTAAAGTCCCTAATATTGACCCGAGGTCGTCGCAATACGGACCAAGCGCGGCGAGGTCAGTACAAAAATGACCGAGGGCCAATATTCCAAAGAATGACTCGACCAGGCAAGGTTAGTAAGTAGCTCATTATACGTGCCTGCTTTCGAAAACAAACAAAACTCGTACTCGGCTTGTGACCATTTCTAAAGAAACAGTCCGTGTCAGTGGCAAAATCCTGACCAAGAAAGAACCAATCAGAAAGCTCGGATTTACTTCAAGACTACCTTGCCATGTAACAGTCTCATCAAACGAGTTATTTTTAGCAAGAATGGCACGACTATTGTCCCACCTTCGAGCAAGTTGCTGAATTCGAACGTTAAAGTTGAAGCAGAGAGACCAAAATTAAAAAATATAGGTTTTAGATTTTTCGTTTGTAATACACTGTAATTGCTATGGTTTTTATGAAAGTTCAATGCGGTTTCCAGTGAAAAAGTGGTTCGACGTTAAATGCCTTTCCTGTGACGCCAGGACAGTAGAGCCGTCCCCCCCCCCTCGCCGTGTTAAATGCTGTTTGGTTATTTAGGAGGCACTGGTGATATGCAAGGCTTAAAACGTTCTGTGTAAATGTCCATTAGTATATATCTGTGAGCGCCAAAAATATTTAAACACCAGTGTTTAACAACCTTCGTTTTCTCCTCTTTAAAGCTCCTCCTCGTATTCAACTGGCCCCAGGTCCAACTCACGTCAAGACAGGACAAAATATCACGCTTCCGAAATGTCACGTGACCGGTTTTCCAGCGCCAGTTGTCACTTGGTGGAAGACACCGGGGTTCCTTGCTAAAGACAAGACTGTGCAGGACCAGGGATTATTAACAGTGGTTCATGCAGCGGAAGACGATATTGGGTCCTATGTGTGCCACGCAAAGAATCACTTAGGAGAGACATCGGGAGCTACCTCGTTATTTGTTTGGTCTGCCCCAGAATTCACCGCAAAACCGCCCCAGACAGTCAACAAAACGGTAGGCGATGACTTGTCCTTAAACTGTTCTGCAGCTGGTGATCCACCTCCCATTGTTTCTTGGAAACGATCCAAGGGAGCTTGGGAAGAAAGGCGAATGAAAGTCAGCAGAGGAATCTTGACGATTTCTGCACTCAGTCATGCGGATTCTGGAGTCTTCATTTGTCAAGCAAAGACGCCTTACTATACCATTGAGGCCAGGACGGATCTCAYAATAACCAATCGTAAGTTGCAATTAGTTAATACCTCGTATTATTGTATCTCTCAGTTAGTTCGCGCGCTGTGATTGGTCAATTTAGCGGGCCGTAATCTACCGTGCGGCCAGCTAAATAAGCTCTTTTTGTTGCCAAAATCTTTCGTGATTTATCACCAAGTGTTCTTAACTGTTTTAGACAAAAAAGTTTAAACCTTTCTTTTACTTCTGAAATTTTGTATTAAAAGCTACTAACGACCTAAGAATCACTTATCAACAATTTCAAATTGACTCGTTTTGCTTACGACGTGCGTCAGAAATTTGAAGCCGTTCCGCGTGAACAGAAATCGTTCCCGAACCTGTCAGATACACAGCAGAGATATAATAAAAATCTTACTAACCTCGTTTTCTCTGTCCGTACTGTAAGTTACGATTTTTCTCCCCGTCGATTTATGGCCTGCGCGCTTCGCGCTTGGGCCATAAATCGATGAGGAAAAAGCTGGGTCCGTAACTTACAATACGGCCCTCGAACTCGGTTAGTAAGAAGTATCTATGAGGATCGAGTAATAGGTCCTTTCCGTGTTACCACTTGACTGTGTTTTGGAATGAGGTTTGGTTCACCTGAAAGTAAGTTCTGTTTGGTTAAAAATGTACTTTTCAGTTGAACTACTTCTTTTAAAATTTTCTCACCAAATCTCATTTTAAAACGTACAGGGTCAAAAAAAATCCCCAAAATGTAAGAAACTGACAACAAGGGGTTTTCTTAGGACTTCCCACCTGTAATGCTTCTTCCAGTGCAAGAACTGTTTAGTTAGCAAAATCTTGCGCGAAAGCTCATCTTTTGACCTACGCGAGAGTCTTATCCGGACCGCCATTTTATTGTCACACAACGCATAATCTTGAAAGCTCTTACCCCGGGGGAGGTACTTTGGGAATTTCTGGGTGGTGATGTGCCGCTGGAACACTG